CAGGCCTTTCCAGATTGAATCACCCGGCCTGAGACCTTAAAACTTGCAACAACTATTCTCAAAAACATTTGTTAAATTCCCTTTAGCAGGGTTATTTATTGGTTCGTATTTAATTTTATTATTTTATTAATTGTATTCCGTTTTAATTTGATCTTATTTAATAGCTTTTTAAGGGGGGAGGGGGGGTTGGTGTGTTTTAGATTGTACTCATTGTATTTGCATTTTAATCTGTTCACCGCCCGGATTGGTTCGCCATAGGGCGGTATATAAATAAAAATTATTATTATTATTATTATTAAAAAAACATTAATTAAAACACACATCAATTAACAGGACATATACACTTTTTACAACAAACATATAGACTTAACATGACTTCCTCACCTCTGTTTCATGAATATCTCTTAATACTTTATCCCTTTCCTATCTTTTTCATATGACTGTTATCATTATAAATACCACAATCTGATTATTGTTTCCATTATGTTTGCAATCATCTTTTCCATTATTAACAATATTGTCTGTTTCCCCTTTTGTGTGTCTTGTCTTTATATGTATAAAAGATACATTCTATCTAATCGATTCTTACACCATACCTTATATTTTATCTATTTCCTAATCAACCATCTCATATATACTTTCCAGCTCTTCTTATCTTTTCCTGTCTCTGTGCTGCAGTCCTGCAAGAGAAGCTGCCATTTCAATGGGCCATCTGTAATCTCTTGATGGCTTTGACATTTTATGCAGAAGGTCCCAGGCTCAGTCCCTGTGTCCTTCACATGGAAGGACTGCAAGGGATAGAGATGGGATCAGAGCCCAGAGAGGTTATTTTGAGGGACTACAACTCCCAGAACCCCCAGAATACCAAAAACTGTAGTCCCCAAAGGGAAATTTCCAGACTCTGGGAAAGGTTATAGAATCCTAGAGTTGGAAGAGACCCCCAAGGGCCATCCAATCCAACCCCTTTCTGCCATGCAGGAAGTCACAGTCCAAGCCCTCCCAACCTCTGTTGAAAGTCCTCCAAAGGAGGGTCCATTACCATCCAAGGCAGCATCTTCCACTGTTGAACAGCTCTTACCGCTAGAACGTTCTTCCTAATATTGAGGTGGAATCTCTTTTCCTGTAGTTTGTACCCATTGCTCCGCATCCTAGTCTGTCAAATGCCCTATAAAGTTGCTGCCAGTCAGAAAATGCAACACTAGGTTAGAAGAACCCACCATAAGGAGAGTTGTGATGGAGAACCAGCATCAAGCATTATGGAAGTGGACTCAGGTGATGTTTTCCTCCTATCAATTTCTGTTTTGTTTTATTTTATTTTTGCAGGTTGGTGAGAAGCCTGGTAATGTGGTGATATCCCCGCCAGAGGCCTGAAGGATGGCATAACCAAGAGACAGAACGCCAAACCAGGCTGGCATCCTGTGAAAGAGGTGCCTTTCTTAGTGTTTTTGTGACAGGAGGAGATAAGGTGGAAACCTTTTCGCAGTACCAAAATAGATTTTCAAGAGCTGGTCTCTCGTTTGTGACTCTTTTGTGATCCTCTCTTCAAAGGTCCCCAAACCTGTTTTCTATGGGAGATTCCATATAGCAGCCTCATAGGTGAAGTGGTGCTTTGATTTGGGATGCCAACACATCCATGGCTGCTCAAGAATTGCACCAAAGTACTGCTGCGCTTTCTAGGAGAGCAGACCTGTCTCTTCTTCTGTTGGACTCGAACATGTGCTAAGCATGTGGCATCTTCTTTAAGAAAGCCAGTGTGGTGTAGTGGTTTGCGTATTGGACTAGGACTCTGGAGATCAGGGTTCGAATTCTAGTTTGGCCATGTAAACCACTGGCTGACCTTGGACAAGTCACAACCTCTCCGTCTCAAAGGATGGCAATGGCAAACCTCCTCTGAAGAAACCTGCCAAGAAAACTCCATGACAGGTTTGCCTTTAGGTCTCCAGAAGTTGGAAACGATTTGAAGGCACACAACCACAGCAGCGACAATCACTGTGCGATCTCTTGCTTTTGTCCCTTAAGACTTTCAGACAAATGTTGCCGTACGGTTTTAAGAAAAGGAGACTTGCAACGTTATAAACACCCATGTGCAGGAACCCAGCAAATTTAAGTTTAAGCCTCTCAAGAGCAGGGGAAGAGATTACAGCTCAGCCATCATCTCTGGAGCCTGCCGTGAGTTAGAGAGACTGCAAGAGAGAAAAAGATTGAGAGAAGAAAAGGGAAAGAGGAGCAAATCCAGGATCTGGTGGCTGCCAGGTTGGTGGGGCAGTGGATCTCTTCCAGGTTTGAGGTGCTTTATAGTTGCTGTCCAAGGTGCTGAACTCTCTGTTGGCAACTTCAATTGATGGCATCCTTATGATCCTACAACCTCAAGGCATCGTTCTTAACAGTCCAGCTCTGGTTTTGCAGACTGACTTTCCAGTTTGATATTGCATAGAGTTTATTGAATAAAAATCGAATACTGAATAGATGCTCTCAAGAGGAGTATCTTTTTTTGTCTTATGAACTGAACTAAAAAAAAAGTATGCTTAATATTATTTTATGGAGTATCCACATGGCCAGAAGGAGGAGAGACCTGACTGCCTGAACGTTCCCCCACCCAATACCACCTGAATTAAGAACAGCCATATCTTGATAAAATGCAGGCTTATTGGGACTAACATTGTCATAATTTTCCCCCTCCAGTATGATTTTTAACACCTTTTCTGATGAAGAAGTTAGTGGAGCTTTTTGCAACATGTATTTCATGTATTTTGGCTGGCCCAGTAGATGCATCACTGTTTTCTGAATTTTGGATATTATTGTATTTTGCTACATGGCCAACACAACTAGCCCTGGATATGTTTAAAATAAAATAGAGTTGGCAACCTGTGGCTTTGGCCACCTACAGATTGTCATGGCACATATTAGTCAATGGCAGCGCATGGATATGGATGCACTGACATGTCTCTGTGATGTTGCTACCATTGAAAAATATGGGGTGCAACTGTCCATGTTTTTTGCCACCCAAACACACACCCCAGAACCAAACTCCCAAGAATGGGAAGGGTCCACTCTATTCAGTAGACTCAAGCCATAACTTGGAACCATGAAGAGTAGAAATGTTGGCTGGCATTCAGGATTAGACCTATTGATGCATAGCATAACCTGAGAGCCAGTGTGGTGTAGTGGTTAGAGTGTTGGACTACAACTCTGGAGACCAGGGTTCGATTCCTATGTTGGCCATGAAAGCCACTGGATGACCATGGGCAAGTCACACACTCTCAGCCTCAGGGGAAGGCAACGGCAAACTTCCATTGTGTGGTTTCTGGTGATGTGCTCCTTCAGCTTTGGTTCCGATCTGTAAAAGGGACCTAATAGAGGTCTGACACATTACGTTGCTGCGCAGATGCCAGAATGAGGTTTGTGAATAGCCATAATTGTACAGTAATGTGACTTTACTGTAAAGAGGTTTGCCCATGAAACTTGCCCAGTGGATTGTTGCCATAAATAAATAAATAAATAAATAAATAAAATAAAAGGATATTGAATTTGTACCTTTTAAGAATGATTCACAGACATTCTTTCTTGGCTTTCTGATAATCATATTCTTAAATGATGAGACACATTGTTGTTCTTAGTATTCTAGATTCCAGTGGTGTCTAACAGGTTCCTCTGCAGAAGTGGCTGGACATTTTTCTCTGATGAGGAATGTCCACTCCCAGATCAAGTTTGCAGAAGTGGCATTGCGCATGAGGTGCCACTGTGTATGCAGGTGCACATGGGAAGAAGGTGTACATGAGGTGTGCATGCATATGAGATGTTCAGCTGCACATTCAGGGGCACATTCAGTTGTACAGTGTTGCCATTCAGCACAAGATGAATCACTGTACCATTGATTCATAAATCTGCAGGCAGAGATTTATGTTAAGAAACCCTGATGTAGTCTCTCAGCCCCTAATTAATTTTAAATATTGTATATATATTGTTTCATTTGCTTTAAAATTATAGATGGATGGACAGATGGACGGACGGACGGACGGACGGACAGGCAGACAGATGAATGAGATGTTAACTGTTTTTAATCTGTATTGGGTTTCATAACTAGGAAGCTACCTTCATCCCCATTCTTGATGAAAAGACAATAAATATATACTGAGATAGATAGATAGATAGATAGATAGATAGATAGATAGATAGATAGATAGATAGATAGATACTGTAGATAGACAGGGAGGCAGACAGACAGATGGATAGATAGATACTACAGATAGATACGATAGAGAGAGGGAGAGAGATGAAAGAGATTTTATTATATGTAACTAATCTGTACTGGGTTTAATAATTAAGAAGCTGCCTTCATTCCCATTATCAATTAAAAGGATGGATGGATAGATAGATGGACAGACAGACAGGCACTGTAGACAGACAGACAGACAGATGAGATGTTTTATATGTTTTTAATCTGTACCGGGTTTAATAATTAAGGAGCTACCTTCATTCCCATTATTTGGAATGGATCTAAATGTATAAAACAACAGCAGCAGCAACAACAGCAACAACAACAACACAAAGGAGGAGAAGCAGCACTAGTAATGGTTCCTTCCAGCTTCTGGGTGAGCCTTAGGTATCGCACATGAACCTCTGAATTGGCGGGTGTTGCCCTGTCCCTGACTCCCTGCGATCTCTCAATGGGGGCATTGTCTCCTGCCCCAGTTCCCCCCTTGGTCTTCCTCCTCCCGGAGCCCTGGCCCCTCTCTCTCTGGGAGAACAACAAAGGCAGGCTATGTGGCTGGGCTTCTGGGCTGTCTCAGAAACAAAGGGAAGCCATTCAGAATTAGGACTCTGGGGAGAGTCCAGATGTTGCCGCCTTTTGTCCAAGGCCCTCGGCCGTTGAGAGGAGCAGAGGGGAAGGCTGGATGGATGGACAGCAGCTCTTCAGAGGACTGAATCATGGGATCGGCCACTTTGAAGGGTCCCCAAGAGCCATCTAGTCAAACCCCTGAAGAAGACCTCCAAAGAAGGAGACTCCACCAGCCTCCGAGGCAGTCTATGCCACAGATTTTATTCTTACTGTCAACAAGTTCTTCCTCGTGTTTAGGTAGAATCCCTTCTCTTGTCATTTGAATCCATTGAGTCTCATTCTGGTCTCTGGAAGAGCAAGAAAACCAACTTGCTGTCTCTTTCACATGGTATCCCTTCAGATATTTAAAGATGGCCACCATGTCATCCTTCAGTCTTCACTTGGTTTTGTACACAGAGGTAAGTTTTATTTCACAGGCAGTGTATTATTTTTTTGGCGGTGGAGGAAGCAAGAGTTCCCCATGTTTAACTATTTCACATGGGTCACAATCCTACTGTTAGTCCCAACTAGAGTAGAGTCATAGAGTTGGAAGAGACCTCCCAAAGGCCATCCAGTCCAAGCTCCTGCCATGCAGTCATGGCCCTCTCTGGGACAGATGGCCATCCAGCCTCTGTTGAAAGACGTCCAAAGAAGGAGACTCCACCAAAATCTCCAAGGGAGCATCTTCCACTGTCAGACAGCTCTCACTGTCAAGAAGTTCCTCCTAATGTTGAGATGGAATCTCTTTCTGTAGCTTGCATCCATTGTTCTGGGACCTGTTCTCTGGAACAGCAGAAAACAAGCTTGCTCCATCCTCAATATGATATCCCTTCAAATACTTAAACACAGCTATCATATCCCCTCTTAACCTTCTCTTCTCCAGGCTAAACATACCCAGCTCCCTAAGCTGCTCTTCAGAGGCCTTGGTGGTTTCCAGACCTTTCACCATTTTGGTTGCCCTCCTCTTGTCTTGTGTGTTGACTCAGCATTCAACAACTTCGATTCAGTGCGTTTCCTTGAGTTCAGAATGAC